TTATTATTATTATTATATCATGCCTAAAACGTAGACCCTACGTCATATTCATATCAGATAAGTAATAATTTGGCCTATCTGCGCTCTGAAATGATAAATGTTGAATGTTTCCCTTTTTTTCATCGGGCCTGGGGTGAAAGTGATATCCCCGCCAACACACATGTCGTTGTGATAAGGCATGAATGAGCGTATATATCTGCCGTGGAAGAGATCAGTGTTGAATGATGCTGTGTTCAGGGATGCGACGTGTTCTTGATTGCTGGTGCCGGTGCTCATTTCTGGACGCTAGGACTTGTTCAAGTCGCTCTTTCTGAATTTGAGGCGAAGTCGGGTTGTTTTTTTTCCCATGAAGTTCTTTCTGAAATTGAAGTGGAGATTTGTTTATATTTCATTTCGTTCTCTGTGAATATGATCGCGGGATATAAAATTTTGTTTGCTTTTTCATGTTGCTCTTTCTGAGTATGAGGAGAATATTTAAATTTGTTGGAGATGCTCATTCATAAAACCTGATTTTGTTGAAGTCTAAGCTGTGTCTAGTGTTTGCATTGACCCAGACCTATATTATATGTGTTTTCTAGGGAAGGACGACCTTATTGGAATATTGCCTGAGTATGTTTTGATTCTTTTATAACGTTTTTGTCTAAAACCGCCATGTTTTCTTTAGAGTAGGTGGTTGTTAGCTTTCTGAAAAGATGGACTCCTTGTAATTTGTGCTTATTTTTGTTGTTTCTTTTCTTATACGGTAATCAAGATTTGTTACTAACGAAATAGTTATCATGTTGATTTTTCAACTACTGATGGAAGTGAAAGATGTGAAGAAGAGATGTTGTCCGGTTTTAGTTTTTAAAAACAGTTCCGTATCCGTCCCATAATAATGACATACCTGCGGGTGGTTGGAGGGCGCCACTGGTAGGCCCTTTTTCTTTACTTTCGCTCTGTTGCTTCTGTCTGTCAATCTGTCTGTGTGGGTGGTTGGTGGGTGATCTGGTGTGGTTTGCTTCTTCTTTACTATCAAACATCTGTCGTCCTTTTCTCCCTTTCTTCTTTTTTATGTTTGTTACTCTCTTGTAACACCTACAATCTTCTGGCGCTCATATGACCTTATGCAGTTGCGAGCGCCATAAAACCTCTACTAAAGTAATTGAAGAGCAATTCTGAAACATGGTATGAATCTGAAAACTGAGTGGCCTCTGGTTCTCAGTCTGTGACGAACTTACAGAAGATGTGGGAATTTGGAATTTTGATCTAAATTGTGTCAGAATTTTGATTGTTCTTTTCACAGAAGGCTGTATAGTTTTGAGAAATTTTCTCTTTCACACCTTTGTTCTGACAGGGAACTCTTTTTTGGCATCTGTGGTGTAGCAATTTGGTGCTTTGCTATCGCAGGCAGGAGATCTGAGTTTGATTCCAGAATGGGGAAAATGTTTGTTTTTAGTTTTTCCCCTGGGATGGTGTACCCCTGTCTGCTATAGTTGAGCCCGACAGGTAGGGTCCAAGCCTGCCTCCTAAATTATCTAAATTGAGTTGAATAGGGAGGGGGGGGGGTGTTAAAAGACATAGGGCCTACATCTTTGAAACACCTCATTCTGGGTCTCTTTAGGTGTTAAACTCAAAAACAAAACACACAAAGCTTAACTCTCAAATGTCTTCTTTCTGTTTTCAGTGGAGCTGCCCCCACCCAAGCTGGACACAGATACGTCCAAGGTACTGAGACTTGACCACATGCGACTGGGCAAGAAGGAGGGGAAAGAGAACAGCACGCGCAACAACTTGAACATCGAGGTATGTGGTTGTTCTTCTAAGCCCTTCTATTTCATAAGACTTGTGTCTTCCGGGCTTCCCCTTTAAAAGAGACCAGTGTACACTTTGCCCAGATTCTATTCTTTCACTCAAAAGTTTAGGCATTTAGGTGGATATGCATTTGTTTTGAAATTTTGCAAAAAAGAAGTAGCCAACTTAGAAAAATACATTCCTGCTTGTTGATGTCAGAATCTCATTTTTTATCATGGTTTTCCATGAGGAGAAAGAAAGCAAAAAATAAGATTTGGATTTAGTAAAAGCATGGAGGTTTGCACGTTTCAAATTGACCTCAAGGACAATGTTTGAGAAGGTTTGTTTTGTTGTTTTGTTTTTTAGACTGAGAGGCGCTGTAGATGGCTGTCATGGTAGTGGTGAAGATGGTGTAACCGACAGATACAGATATAATACATTTATGTAAAATACCCAAAACAAAGAAAGTTTGTCATAAACATGGTTTTAAAAATTCCAGCGAAAGATATGTTTTTAAAAATCTGGTTAAGTGGGAAAGAAATGCCAATGTTGTAAATGCTTATCTGCCACTATGTAGGCCTACCTGTACCTCACTTTAAAAAAATTAGCATCTGAATAAAAATCCAATATGCATCAGTTGTGTTATTACTATTATGTCAGTGTTTTTTTCTTTTTTCACATATTTCAGGAGTTTGAATGTGGCGTTCAGTTAGAGGGATCTGAGAGCTCGAAACAAGAGTGGTTTTTTACTTTGTACAACTTTGATGGTCATGGAAGAATCACCAAAGAGGTTTGTACATGTCTGGCTGTCTGTTTTGTTGGTGTAAGACGGTATATTACGAGTCGGTAAACTTGGTTAGTGAAAACGTACTTCTTTTAGGATATACCCCAGGAATATTGAGGATGGCATGTGAAAGTGTAAATTTCACCATATCTTAACGACTTTGCTCAGTATATTATTTGGTCCAGACTTTCCATTTCTGTCTACTTCAGAATTGTAGTTTTTTCCCATAAATACTGTTATTTAGAATAAGCAACCCCTTTCCAAATGACTTCCAGAAAATACAATTACCACATATTGTGTTCTTGCAAAAACCCCTAAAAATTGGCATTTTAGTGGAGGCCTCTTCTACTGAAATGTGCGAAACCACCCTGTTTTCTTAGTGTAGCTGGGTTTTCAGTTTAGAGAGGATGTACAAATAGAAGGCAAAAAGTTACAGAATCAAATTTTTTTACAGTTTACCATTTTCGGATTAACTGTGTTTGGTGTAAGCAGACTCCAAAGTATTTGCACTTTTGAAAATATCCTGAAAGAGCTTACCCGAATAACTGAATTTGTTCTCTTTTATCTCCTTAGGATCTTTCTAGTCTTCTGAAGGCCTTGTATGATGCCGTTGGCTCTTCCATCAAACTCCCACCTCACGGAGCGCGCACCCTCAAATTGCGTCTGTCTGTGGGCCAGGAACAGGCAGCCCAGATGAAGAACACAGCCAACCTCAAGACGAACCCCGACAACCCCCAGGGGAAGACGGGGCTCGGGAAAGGAACCAAAGAATTCTCTAAGATGAACAACCTCACCCGCACTCACATCAAGTGCATCAATGAACACAAAGCTCAGTTGAAGTCTGTGGGAATGAACCCAGACCCTCCCGGAGTGGTTGCTGCTGAAGAGAGAGTGTCAGGTGGTGTAGGGGTACGCCCACCCCACCAGCCCTCGGCACCAGAACAGCTATGTGCATTAGAGGCACAAGAACAAGTGGAAAAAGCTCTCAGTAAACACTTGAGGCTAGTACACTCCTGTTGTAGAATTTCATACTTTACTTTATTTTTCCGATCCAATGGCCATTTGGGTTAAATAGAATTTCCTCTTTGCTCAGCTCATTAAAATACACAATAATTTGTTTGGCTATCTGGGAAAACAAAATTTTTTAATCAAGCAGTTGGCGGGAAATTGTCAAGTTCAGGTCCTTGTTAAAAAAATGAGTTCGCTCAGCATTCCCCCCTCTCCTCTTTCAGAATCTAGAATGTTGTTCTTTTGTAAAGATTTTGAACGTGGTTGGTTTGGATAATGATCTGCTGCCACCTCCCCCTGCTATTCATAATGTTCCGCAAGATGTTCACTCATCAACCTATCAAATACTTTCCTGGTAAAAGTAGACTAGAATTGTAACTTCACGGTCACGAGAATCATACTTTGTAAAGTTCACATTATCTGACTAAATTGAATTGTGTTATGCCTTCAAAGTATTACAGGGAATGTTCGAATAATTTCATGGTTGTAGATAAAAATTATAGCCACACTGTATGTTTTACCACAAGTTAATAATACTATTCACATACTATCTGATAATGTCTGAACATTTTTATTCTCCTTTCTGTTCTTTAATACAATCACTCAGATTAATTTGGCAGGGGATGGTCACTCTTGTATAATAATGACTGAATGATGTGGTTGTTAGTACTAATGTACAGTCATACTTTGACAAACTTTAAAATTGATTTTGGAAGTAGCTATATAGCCCAGTGCTGTTTATGTTGAATGGAAAGAAAAGTAATAAAGAAACATTGGTGCAGCATTTTCTTGCTTGCAGCAGTCTGTCACAACAAGTGACAAAATACCAATCTCCTCAACCCCTTCTGCTGCTTGTGGAATGTGATTATAAATGAAGAGAGATCATGATTGAGATACACCAGAAGTCCTGATCCTGATTTTGTGCTTCATATAATCCATAAAATCATTGTGTCATCTTCTGAATGCATTGTTTCTTGACTATATTTTTAAGGAGAAAGAAGTATCTTCAAGGTTTTTTTAGTTTTTTTTTTTTTTTGACACTTACAACTTTATATATACCTGGTATACCTTATGTACGAGTATTTTCGCTTATTAAATTTTTTAATGGTACAAGCGTTGTCTTCCATTTCCTTAATCATGAAAAAGTGTAGTTCTTTTCTTACTCAAGGGAAAACGATCTGGCAGTGTCAAAATACCTCAGATAAAATAGATTGTTTGGTCTGTTCACAGAAAGTTTGGAAAGTACCTCAAGTCTTCACACAAATTTTTTTTTTTTTTGCACATGGGTTCCCATTTTACATAACCAGTATGTTTTTAGATGTAACTTTTTAATCTTGTGACTTTATTTGATTCCCATACAGACGGCAACACAATGAGGCTCGTAAAGACAACAGCAAACAGCACAAGCGACGCCATCGGCACAGCACGGCTGTCCACTGCCCGGTGGCCCCCGCATGTCTCGTCTCTGCTAAGTTGGACCGTGTTGGGATCCCAACGTTTAAGGACAAAGTGAACCAGAGTTCAGGGCTTGGAGAACCGCAGGCTAAAGAGAGTCAGGATCGACGTAACTATTATCTCGATCTCGCCGGTGTGGAGAACACATGCTCCAGGTTTCAGAACAATCTCTCATCTTCACCTCTCTCAAAATCTGGGGCTGTGACAGCAGCCCTGGCGGGGGTTGGAGGAGGTCACCACAGGTCTCGATCGTACGATGTTGCTAAATGTGGCAACTGCAGTTACGGAGATTCGAAGCAGGAAGCCTCGGGGCGGGATGGTCAGGCGTGTCGCTGTGATAGTGCCCACAAGGATGGGGACAAACTCCGCACCAAGTCCAACAAGCTGAAGTTCGAACACCACCAACACTTACGCTCAAAGTCGTTTGACTCCCATGCTGCCACGCACAGAAAAGCGATGGCAATGTCAAAAGGACTGCCACACCAGCCTCACTCTGGTGGAGGAGCGACACATGCTAACCGCCATCCCGACCTTCAGATGCCGCCAGGTGTGCTAGGGGCTGGGCCTCCACCAATGACTCTGTCCCCACACCACCACAGAAGGCACCGCCACAGAGAAAAGGACCAAGAGATGGCCATGCAGCAGGTGGCACAGTGGATAGAGCGTGAGCACTCATGGGACTTGTCGGGAGGGGATGGCAGCGCGGTTCAGCGCCATGAGCATCACCACATTCACGAGCACCACCACCATCACCACTACCATCACTACTATGAGACGTAGTACTGTCATGACCATCGTTGTTAGATGTATCAATCTCATGGCATGGCAGTCACCTCTATTGCTGACATTTTTCAATGCTGTGGTCTTGCCACAGTACCATGGTACTGCTCATCACTTCCCCTTCAGTAATGTACAGCAACGTTGGAACCTAATCAGTTAAAAACAGATTTGTACTTTAAAATGGCCCCTTGCACAAGCTGAAAATGCATTTCGTACATTACTTGAGAGCAAAGAGTTTTACTCCAGTCCTAGATCCGTAACTGTGCTCCACAGAAGGTTACAAAGGTTACAACAGTGTACGTTCGACTGCAGTGACTTTTCGACATATGTTAACGAATTCACACAACCTATCGGTGCCAGTGCTAGATGTAGCTGTAACGTAACAGTCCATGTCACATTCGTTTACTATGAGCAAATGTCATCGCAAGGGCTTCCATGCTGGATGAAAAGTTAGACATACTTTTAAGACATGCTTCTGTAGGATTAGGAAATGTGGCCTTAATTTCTACAGCTTCCAGAACGTGGGAAACTTTTTTCGTTTTCTCTGCCGTCGCAAAAATAGTTTTGCCACCACAGTCAATTGTGTACTTGTCGATTTACGGATGAGTTGATGACTTTGGGGGAGTAAAGGAAAGATCAACTCATCTGAACTGATAACCATTCAAGTCTGTTAAGAAAAAGAGGTGCTGGGACCTGAGAAAAGATCAACTCAACTGAAGATTAACTCAAGAGAGTTAATCACAAGCAGAGTCGACTGTATAACTGATTCTTGTTTTAGTTACTGGCTGTTATGTTGCTATATGCTACTTCAGAACACAAACTGACAGAAGGGCTGTTTTTCATATGAACTGTTTAACTTATATATCGCTTTAATATTATGTGCATTTTATTGCTTCCAGGAAGTAGTGAATTCAGGATTTTCTAACATTTGAAAGTGAGCCTGCATTGACTCAAGTAGACCTTTTCGCCATGATATTAAAAAAAATAAGATATGCTGCGATAAGGGCATCAGAAGACCTATGACTTACTAACTCCCTTAAAGAGGAGAATGATATATTTGTGAAAGGTCAACTGTTGTGTCATATGGTGCGATGATTATTTCCTATTGCTGTGTAAATAATCTGATGCCTCAAACTAAGCGGTTCGCGTGAAGTGCTCTTCGTATTCTGCTATGAGAAGAAAACTTTTCTGTGACGGCTACAGAGCAAGGCTAAACCTGGAAAGACTTATGTACTGTACAATATATTTATTGGGACTTAAATCACCTGACAGGATATGTTTGTGTATAGAGTTGTGAAGAGAGGTGTGGGTACTGTGGAGATTGTGAAAACTTCCCCGCAAGGCAGTTAGCTTTAATCAGCATTCATCTACCTCATTTCTAGGTTTGTTTATAAGTACTGAATTTTTTTTATCACCCACGTCACTCCCTTTTTTTATCAGGGAGTAAAAATTCCCTGGCTGAAAGCTGTTCAATTTCTCTGTAGCATTTCAACATTTAGGTCCCCCAGTCTGGTTTTGTTTTTTCTTTTTCTTTTTGTTTCCAGATTCTAGAGTAAAGTTGTTGGTTTTTTCCCCTTCTCTGACACATTTCCTGTGTTCATTGTAATTATCTCACTTTTTCATCCTGTCATCTTGTCTCATGGTCCTTTTTGTGTCAGTTGCTTAGATATCCTTAAGTTTATAAAATTCAAGGGTTGCCTTTTTTTTAAACTGTAATTTTCAATCCTTACAAATGACGATTATTTTTTTATATTTCCTGAATCTTGTTGGGGATATTTTTATTCTAATACAGGCTAAGAATATATCTTTTTTTTAAAAATTCAATTAAGACTGTAGGCTATTAGAGAACTTCTTATTTTAACTTAGTACATATTTTGTCTTAAAATTAAGCATAAGGCTTCAGTGACTTCTTTTAAGTGAGTTGAGACACTTCAATGTTATTTCATATTGCATTTGTGCCAAATAACCTCTGTATGTTTTCTGTAAAGATCTAAACAAATATTCCTAGCATGCATAGTTTCTGTGTACATCTTCAGATTCACAGAGGGGCTGTGTTATTTTATGTGTTCTGGAGTTACTGGGAGCTATGCATGTTTGGACAAACTTCTGCTGTATTATAACATGTACAAAGTATGCAAATATATGTATGATATGTGAATAATATTCTGTAATACAGTGAGGTCTGCTTAAACCAAGATAATCCCTGATTTTTTTTCTTCTTTGTCCTTGTAAGAAAACTATCAATCAGTCAAAATGTTCCTGTTCTTAAACTGAAAAGACTTTCGAGAGTTATATCATCTAAATTTTCACTAACAACAACAACCCTCAAGTAACTCTTGTCAAGTCTTACGCGCTTCAGGATGGTGAGAACAGAAGTGTGTCAATTGTGGACCAAAGAGAGACGTCACCAGTGTAGCCTACTATTTGCCTTCATTTATAACACACATCAATAGACCTACACATTGTGTCTAGGCTTAGTGATCCAAGGGTAGTAAATGTATATCTGTCTCATGATCTTTAGTTGGTCATGGCCTATTGTCTCTGCAAAGCTAGTTCTCGCAGGCTCTAAGTATGAGCGCTTGACGGGTACGTGGTGTGTTTCATGATGTCACTGCATGGTATTAGGTGTTATCACTTCTCTAGACCAGGGCAGAGTACAAAACAGTGTACAGTACCGTGTGCTGATCTACTTTTTCATCTGTTTTGTGAGACTGTTTGGCAGTTTGAGCAAGCTGACATTGTCAAAGAAAAAGCATATGTGTACGACTGCAGCTCATATTGCAGTTACTGAAAGCAGTTGAAGAGGAAAGAACTTTCAAAAAGTGAAACTTGCCGTTGAAGAGGAAAGAACTTTCAAAAAGTGAAACTTGCCGCAAGCATGGTATTCCCAACTCTACTCTGTCAGCAGGCATGGCTATTCAAGCAATCTCTCTGAACAAAAATACTGCTAAACTAAAGAAAATCTGGCGTTCCCATAGATTTCGGTTTAAGCAGACTCTGCTGTATTTTAAAATGCTGGAGTTCAAGTACAGAAAATCCAAATGTACTGTCAAATATATACATACTGGTTCAGTGCTTTTTAACTAACCAAGTCAATGATCTGTTCTGCAAAGCAATGAAAACTACATTATCCCTTTGACTTCCGGACTTTCTTGATTGTCTAATGTTGACAGAGCTACTATAATTTGTATAACCAGTACTGGAGTCCAGTTTATTGAAAAGCATTGCATTTGTTACTGCTTTCTGTCAGATATTTCAATGTTAATTTTTGTTGCAAAATTATGACTAATAAAGTCTTGTATGTCTTAATGTAATGCGTTATTCTCCTAAAGATTTTGAAAATTTGAAGTGTGAAAATTTGGCGTTTTTATTTGAATGGCAATTTTTCAGTTTTTTAGTGGTGTTGCAAATGGCTAACAGCTATTAAAATGATATCCGTATTATTTTCTTCTCAGTATTATGTAGGACTTTATTAAAGGATAACTATTACTGTGTGCTTTTAAAAAAACCCATGGGACTGCCAAGTGTATAGACTTGTTTTTTTACAGTCAGAAGGATCTTATGTGTCATGATGTGCTGAAATCAGGCATACGTCGAATTTTGGGATGATGGAGTTATTGGTATCACTTTCAAGCTTGTTTATTTGCCTTGCTTTTGATGAACGGAATACCCGTTTGTCTTGAATAGAAGTTGAGATATTTGTGATTGAAGAGGTGGGGTGTGCCTGGTGTCAGAGGTAAAATTAGCGAGAAAATAGCCTACAAAGTTTGGAAAAAGCTTTAGTGACTTTGGCAATTGCAAATTTATAATTTTGTGCCCTTAGTCAACATTTTTTAAAAGTGAAATTCACACAGAAATGTGTTTTTAAATGGACATAAACGGTGTTTTAAGCCAAAATGAAATAAATAGAAATTTCCCAGTAGGAGGCAAAATGTCGGTCTCTTCAATTTCATTACTTTGATGAGCGCCAGATTTCACCACAACCATGATGCCACACATATTTAAGTTCACATTTCTTTTTGAGACATTCTAATATGATGCTGTTTCCTTCCACCATATATTTCAAATTTGCTTGCTGTTTCCTATTTGTATTTTTTAAAACACAACAGGGCAAGGGATTTTTTTTTTTTTAATCTACTCTGAATTCTTACCAATTTTAAGAGCAATTCAGTCTTCCAGTAGGTCCATTTATAGAAAGTATTAGTATTATGCGTGTTTTGAAAGGCCAATGTGACTGTCAGGTTCTTCATTCAGCCTTTTTGACAAGATATGTAGGCCTACTCCATATATGGTAGCTTTAAATTCATTTTACTGTCAAAGAAAGTATTCCTGTAAAGTAAGCTTTTTATATAACCACCAAGAGCCAGGTTTCATCATTTTTCATTTATTCATCATGGTTTTTGTTTAGGAGTCTGGCAAGTCCTGATTTGACAATTTTGGATTATGAATAATTCTCAATCCTCATGATTCTGTTTCTCCAAATCCTCGTACTGATACTCCAAATTATCCATTGACGAACTGTTCTCATCATATATAGGCCTATCATGCTTGACATTAGGTTTCAAAAGCTCTCTCAGAGATTTTTCGTGATTTTTCTTTTTGCTCATTTCTGTACTCGCGGACCAGTAGCCAATGTGTATTGGTCTCTTGCACTTTAACCATTTTGTTCTTGTTCAAGAAACCAGCTGGTATACATCACAACATTTATAAGTTAGGCCTATAGTTTAGTCCTGTCTATGTCTTAATGCAGAACTCAACAGGCATTCTTATAAAAATTACTTAAGTAGATGCCTAGCCTAGATTTGTCCCACAACAGGCTTTTTAAATAGTAAAAAGGATGTTGAATGTTTGAAGAAAAAAGGGAAGATAGATGTAAGTAATAAGTGTAAATGAGAAGAACTCATTCAGTAGATTAAAAATTAAATTAAAGAAGTTCAGAAGAATGCAAACAATGTTGGGAGTTCATCTGTTTTCTGACTTAATAAGGCCAACAGTTAAACTCCTGAACAATCCAATCCGTATGTCGTATTTTACTATAGTATCCAAACGACATGGGGAACTCTACTCTGTGCCACCACTTTCCAAAGAGAAAATATATACTCGATCCAAACGCTTTGCGTTGCAGTCTGTCAAAATTATTTTTTGAGAAATGCTGAAAGTTTCAAAGAGATCTTTGCACCAGAAGTATTCTAAAATGTGAAGAATACAACGCCGGGGGTACAAAATGATTGGGTTACGGTACAGGTTTGTAATATTTTTGAATGACAGTCACATGTGTCTCATGCTAGTTTGTTAGTGGTCTGCTCTCACATCCTAACACCCTTGTAAGGATTGATTACTTATCTTGCGTATGCATCAAGGGCCATCCTTTTTCAGTGATCCTCTATGTTGTATTAATAAATTGTTTCTAAAGTATGTGGTAATGATTATTTTCTTTTTACTGAGATCCTTTTCATGCTTCTTCTGTCTCTCTCTTGCATATTATAGGTACTGTGCAGTCTAGAATTCCTTTGACCAGGCCAGTTTTTCATCACCATAGTCAGGGGTATGTTAGTGTCAGTTCTTACTTTTTATTAGGTCATAAGATTCGTACTATTCCTTTTTTACTTTTTCTGCTAAAACTTTACTAATGCTTCAGATTAGCTTTGCGACTTTTATCCAAGAGTTTTCACTTGAAATTGTAACGCCATTGTTTGGATTAAGAAAGAAATTATTTTGTCATGTCTGTCAAATGTCCACCCATGGTGTAAAAGATATTTGGCTTCAGAGATTTATTTTGTTGATTAGATGTGGTATAAAAAGGTAACAGTTATTTTGTTACTCTTACTCATCAACACCCACATTTCTTTATATATAGCCTATATATGGCTAATAAAGTCTTGTCTTTTGCAATTTATATTTTTACGGAATTTATTAAAAAGATCATAAATAACCTACAAGACTGGTTCAAGTTTCACTTCTTCGAATCTTTAAAAAAAATTGTTCTTTTGTTTTTAGTAATGATGTTAATCAGGTTAAGCAACAATGATTTGTTGCAGAGATATTGCTTTTCGTGTTTAAGAAGAGATTTTCAGCAACTTCCGTAATCCTTAAAAGGTACTTTTGATTCTCAGAATGCCATTTGCTTAGTGTAAGATTCATGTGTCGGATTCCACATTTATGAAACTTCTATTCTATTTCTGATATTACGCTGTTCTTTTTTCTGAATCCTGGCATCATCCATGAATATTTCTTTCTCATATGTCAGCCTGTTTACAGGACCTACTTTTATTGCACAGGCTGTCACTGGCTGGTTTAGCTGAGCTGATATTTTTCACTTACGTTTGGGTCCCAGTTCAATAGGATGAATTAGGAATTGTGGAAACTTCATAAGGATAAGAATTTTAGTTTTAAAAATATTTGGGAGCGTTTTGTCAGCTGGACTATCCTAAAGCTAAAGAGTTTTTGTAGTTGTTCCGTTACACTAATTCAAAGGTATCGAACAGGAAATACATGGTTAGGTTAATTAATATTGAGAATGGGTTTTTTTGGACAAATTGTCAAAAGCAGTGACGATATATCTTTTTAGTTACATTTTTCAGTGGAAGTTGTCGCATAATCAGTTTTGTATTTATTTCTGCAGCCATGTTTTTCACGCCTTATCTACGCAAATCTTTTTTTTTTCATTATAGAGCTATGTGTGTTGCAAAGTTCAAAGTCCTTCTTGAATTGATTAAAGATTTTAAAAATAAATGTCAGATTGTCAAAGAGACGAAGCTTGACTTTTTAAAAAGGAAATATTGGTTACCATATCTGATTTGTACTAACTTTATGTGAGTTACATCTGGCTACATTTCTAGAAACTGTCATTAGGATGTAGGCCTATGTAGTTTAGGAAGAGGCTGAGGTTTGTTCTTGATGTTTGATAAGCTTGCTCTAAATGACTGGAAAGATAAGCCTTTCATTATTTCATCTATGCAGAATGTTTGAACCTGTGCCCATGCAAACCTCCATATACTCTGAATTAATCATGTACTCTTTGCAGAGCAATCAAATTTAATTAATCACGGCTATAGCATGTAGGATTTTGAGACGTTGCTTGTTGTCTGATCATGTAGAACCCCACCTCTCCCCTTTCCAATTCCTCTATCTCCATTTAATTTCGCTATCTCTCTCTCTCACTTCCTCCTTTTGAGTAGACCTATATCTTCGGAGTGAGCTGGAATTTGGTAGGAAAATCAAAATGGTTGTGGTACAATCATCAAATGAGAATCCATATTATACATTGGAATTGGAGTCTGATTGTGGGTAGTTGGCGGGTGCTCTGGTGTGGTTTGCTCCTTCTTTGCTATCAAACATCTATCGTCTTTATCTCCTCTCCTTTTTTGTGTTTGTTACTCTCTTGTAACAACTCTAATCTTCGGCACTTATACGACCTTATTGTGTTGCAAGTGCAGTAAAATTCTTACTAAATCTAAAACAGAGTCTGATTGTGGACTTGAAAAGTAGACACATTTGGTGAACTGACGTGAAATGAGACATGGTCAAATGGACATTGTTCCGAACATTGTGGTCTTTGTGGTTATTGTCATTATACACATTGTAATGAACTATTACACCTTTAAGCAAATTGCCATATTCTTTTATAGTGTTTTAGTTTTAGTAGAGATTTTACGGCGCTCGCAACTGCATAAGGTCATATGAGCTCCAGAAGATTAGAGGTGTTACAAGAGAGTAACAAACAGAAAAAAGAAGAAGGGGAGATAAGGATGATAGATCTTCGATTGGAAAGAAGGAGCAAACCACACCAGAGCACCCGCCAACCACCCACTTTTATAGTGGGGTTCCCTTTATAGTGTTGAAGGATGACTTGCAATGCTCTGTATAAATAAAGAACCTCTCCGACTATGCCATGACTACTAGAAAAAAACGTTTTAAGGCTGGAAAGATCCATATCATCAAGCCTTTGTCTTCCGACCATCATATTGGCATTTTGCAAGGATGAAATGTTCTTATTTTCTTTTGCATAGCCTATCTCTCATTGGTGGTGAAATTGTGGGGGATTGGTTGTTCTTATTTCTTAAATCAGATTGCATTTGTGTTAGTAATTGTATAGGTACAAGAAAGGACAAGTGGCTCGTCACACTTAGTTTTTCAAGATATCAGAAGTAACTTCAATTTTATCCCCTACTTCAAGTGTTTCTATTTCCTTATACTTGTAGGACTTGAACTTAAACTTTAATTTGATGCATGTAATGTTTTATTTGTTAAAATGTGACATGTGACTTATTTTGTCTTGTTGCTTCCCAGTTGCTTTATTTGAGAATTTAATAGGAGACAGAAGGACGAGTCCTGCATGTAGATTATTATGGTGTATTTTTAAACGCTGTTGCAAATTTTGAAATAAAGTAATGTAATAATTACAAGGAATATGTTTTGTTACCAATGAATTGTGTGTGATTGAGATTTCTTCATGTGGTTGACTTAATTTTTCTTCATGTGTGTTTTAGTGCCCTCTTGTGCTCCTGTTGTGGTTGGAGGGTGTCACTGGTATGCCCTACTTCTTCTGTTTCTCTCTGTTGTTTTTGTCTGTTTGCCTTACTCTTTCCCCAGCACATTATGTCGATGTGCTTCTCTTTACTAAGCAAACTCTTATGCTTTAAGCCAATTGTAGATTATTCTAAACAGTCAGAAACTACTACCCATGTATATATATATATAAGTGGGCCAAATGTCAGAACAGATCTAATAACGTCAACTGCTGTTATTGGAATACAAACTACAGACATTGAATAATAATTTATTTTGCTTGCTATGAAGATAGCCCCTTATATAAGGGGTGTTCTGTAGTATTATGTACCCTCACAGTTCATTCCTACAATTCATTATTTCAATCTCATGGGGGACGTTCATTGTGGTAGTTTCTTCAGCTGGCCTATTCAAATGTTGTCTGTCACATATTTTTGGTCCTGTCCACAACAAAGTCGATGCTGGTGGCTAAGTAAATTTGTAAAAAGTCGCCAGTGGGAGGAGGACACCACTGATACTGATAGGTCCTACCTCTATTTCCTTTTACCATGTTGTTTCTGTCTATCAGTCTTGCTTCTTCCCTGCTCAGTATGACCGCCACTGTGTTGGTGTTTGTCTTTAGTCGAGCTCAAAGTAAGAAAGGTGAGTGGTTGGCGGGTGCTCTGGTGTGGTTTGCTACTTCTTTCCTATAAAAAGATCTATTCATCTCTATCTCCCCTCCTTCTTTTTTGCGTTTGTTACTCTCTTGTAACACCTCTAATCTTCGGCACCTATATGACCTTATTGTGTTGCAAGTGCCGTAAAACTCTTACTAAAACTAAAGTGAGAAAGTGAATGGGTTAAACTCCCTTTTCTACACTGTTAGCTTATTTTAGAGGCTGGACCTCCGAATGTACCGCTCATCTCCAATAGAAGGACTGAGTCAAATGATTTTAGGGCTGAATGCGGGAGAAACTTTCCAAATGGTAGAATTTTTTAATCTTTCAGAATCCAGAATCGAAATCATGATCTTACGATTGTAAATATGGGTGGTACGAGGATGTCCCTGGTTTGCTGAATTTCTCTTCTTTTCCCCTCTTTTTGACTTCCTTGTTCTTTCCCTGCCCAAAATGATGAAATTTACTACGTGCTTCTTACTGAGACAAATATACTAGGCCTGTTGCATGTCCCACTGCTTGGGCTATAACTACTGGGTTGTTGTTTCACCTTTTGAAACAGATCGAATGTCCAAACGTTTATCTTATCCTTCATGATGCATTTACCTGGGGGAGGGGGGTGGGGTGGGGTTGAGTGAGACAAATACTGCAGGAAAGACTAAAATTGATGCATTTTCTGAAGTTTTACACCATGTCTGAAAAGGACTCTTGTCGGATTGCGTAATGTATATGGGTCCTGCAGGTACACGCGGTTCAAATGAAATATTAAAGGAAAAACCATAGAAACTCAGACTTCAGTCATGATACAAGTTTGATGTGGTGACGTTTTTTAAAAAACTGAAATAATTCAAGCGATGTCATCGAAAAGCAAAAGAAGAATTAAATGTCATTGATTCAAGTTGTTAAGGTAGCCTACTTTCAAACAATGTTGGCCTTTCTAAAGAATTAGAGTTTGTGCGTAGAGAATGCGGTTGGAAAGTCCCATTTCTTTATCATCCGTGTTTTCTTTCTGTCTGTACCCCCCCACCCCCACTCCAAATAAAAAGCAATAAAATATGAAAGGTCAATTGACAAAAATGTCGTTTGATTTTAAATCCCCATAGTTACTCAGCGGCAGCAGCGCTAGGTATAGTATTAATTATTTTGGTGTTGAGATGACTGTGAAAGATCAGATGGGAGATGTCACACCGAAATTAAAAGCTGCATTTGCCAAGCAAAATATTAAGCAACCTTCCACAAAATGAAACAGATACTATCAAACATCAATCTGTCACTGGAAACGAGAAAAAGAGTACTGAAAAATTACATCGAGCCGATCCTATTATACGGGTGCGAAGCATGGACTATGAACAGTCAATAAACAGCTGGAAAGAACAACTGTGGCGACAGAGTTGTGGTTCATAAGACGCATGCTACATATCCCATGGATTGCTAGAAAAACAATAAATGAAGAAGTCTTGGTTGAAGCAAATTGTAGAAGACAGCTTATGACGAATATAAGAAAGCGACAGGCAAATTTTTTCAGACACATAATGCGGAAAGAAGCATAGGAGAATATTGTAACAACAGGCACGTTTGATGGAAAGAGAGGCATAGGGAAAAGATACTGGGCAAGATGACAACATGGCTAGGAGCAGCAAGAAAATCAGACACCATT